GTCTGTTGGAGGCACTGGGAATACAAAAGACAAAGGGAAAACAGACCCTAGAAGGTCCACTTGTTAGTGCAGAAACCTCCACAGAAAAAGAAACTTGTGAAGCCATGTGGAAAGAGAGATGCACAGGGAAACATGAGAGAGGATGTGATGAGGAAACTCTTGGAAGAGGTGGAGAGGAAGTGCATTAGATCAAGGACTTGGTTTTGGAATCAGAGTGAACCAACCTAAAAACATCAACCTAAAAAAGACCTAACTCACACTGCCTTGAAAAATAAAGTTAATTTATAGTCTCATAGAACTAAAAATCCAAAAGAAGGGTGGTATGCCAATTTCTGAACAAGGCATAGAGAACTGTGATTAGCTGGGCCTCTGTGTCATTTGTGCATCTCTGAGGTCTGAGTAGGAGCGGCCCCCTTGAATTCCTAGAAGTTCACCCTGTCTTCAGGGCTGGAGTGCCATTTCTCTCCCATTCTTTCAACTCTGCTGTCCTCTTTGGGTCAGCTTCTTTCTTAGGTTGGTGTCCCCTGGAAACAAAATGTCTGCAGCAGTTCCAGGCCTAACATCCAAACACCACAAATCCAGATCACCCAATATTCCAAGCAAAGCCTCTGAAATTCACTCTATTGCATGAGTCTAGGTCATATGTCTACTCCTGGTCCAGTTGCTGTAGCCAGAGGCATGGCATACACTCACCATCTTGGCCTAGTTCACAGCTCTTCATTGGAGCTAGGGATGGCGTCAGATGTTTGGAATGGAGAAATGAATGCAGCCAACATCTGTCAGACATGGGGAGCAGAGTGTGTAGGTAAGCTTTCTGAAACGTTATGTGTGACACATCACTCGCCATTCATCAACATGGTGGCATTTATTATAACTGAAAGAAGCTCCCAATCTTCCATGAAAAGTGTTATAACCAATGTGGATAGAAGAGGAGCCATCTTTTGAAAACCAAGGGGTAAAAACCTATTGTTAAAGGAAAAAGGTCCTATCAGCTTCCCTCCTGCCTTGACTCTGAAATACCTTAAACCACAGAGCCTCGTTTGACTTGGCCATACTCACCGTCTCATTGGAGAAAGGGAGGTGGTACAATATCAGTCAGGATAGCTTATGTTATGCTGCTATAACAAGCAACCCGCAAAACTCATTGGCTTCATACAAGCCCACTGTAGGTGAGTCTCTGGGTGAGGTAATGGGCTGACTCAGAGATCCAGGCTGAGTCCCCACCATCCTGTGCCTGTGTTCATGCAACATACATCCAAAATCAGAACTATCAGGGAAGAGACAACTGCAAAGTGAATTGCCTCCCCCTTGGAGTGAAACCCAGCCCTTTGGCTCACATTCCATTGACTAAAATAAGTTGCATGGCCACGCCTAATATCAAGGGACAGGTAAGTGCTTCAGTGCCTAGAAGTAGAGCAGACCTGGATACTGGTGAATGCTGGTAGCGCCTGCTGCACTGGGCTCCTTAAACAAGAGCAGAGCTGTGTCAGGTGCTGCTCCTGCCTTCTTCCCTTGAACGGTCTTTCTACCATTCCGATTCTGGCTGCCACACGCAGGAGCTTGTTTCTGGAGGGGGAGGAGGCTGGCAATGGAAAGATTAGCCTCTCCCTAGGTTCCACAGGGGGATCAGTATTTTCAATAGTACTTTGTGAGTTCAGCCTCAAAGTAAATGGTTAATTCATCTTGTATCAACAGCACTGTGATTCATAATGTAAACTTGGAGAATCCTTGATGTTTCGGCCCACATTCCTTTTAATTTGGCTCTGCATTCTTTTAAAGCCACAGTGTGCTCACTTAATAGAATGCAGCATGCAAATGCACAAGTTTCTGCCTGGAGGCAATTTAGCCTGGCTGTTTCAATGGATGTCTTCTTTCAAGTGTATATTCTTTCTTAAATTATTTACTGGGTAAACACACTTTGCATTCTCAAAAGGGAGATTAAGACTGCTTGCTGCAGACCTAGTTGGACATAAAGGCCCCTTGCCTAAAGTTAGAAGGAAGTTTCTTTGGGCTTCCCCCAAAGTTCCTGCTCCAGCTTACTAGCTGGGAACCCCTCTTCCTGGCTTGTTTTTCTAATTCTCTCCAAACTGCATTCCTTTCTGCTTTGCCTGTAGCAATACCTGCTGGCAGCCTCTGGCTGAGCCAGTACTCCAGGCTTCCTCACAGATGGACCCACCAAGTGCCTGCCCCTCCTGGCTGGCTTGGTCTTATCCACCCAGGGCACCAACAGCTCACTTCTCTGGTCCTTATAGGGCCTATATCTGCCCAACACTTTCAGGTCCAATGCTGGGTTGCTGGGCTGGCCAGAGTCGAACGTACTTTCAACTCTGTCCTAACTCTTTATTTCTCCCTCTATACCTTTTCTCTTAAATACCTGCCAGCCTTTGGTTTGAAAACAAATGCTCTCTCCCACCACCACTGACTGGTGCTTTCAGAGGCATGATGGTCTGAGTTTCCCTCTTTGGGAGTAACCTTCAGCTTTTAGCATCAGTCTTTCTATGCAGACTCCCTGAGATTCCCCTACAAATTAAGCCTGCACAGATTTCTGCTCCATCCTCCCTGGAAAGGAATAATTACAGTGACGGCAGGACCGCCTTTCATCACCACGCTGTGGACGCGCTCTTTCCAGCCTGCGTGCCAGTTACTGTGCCGTGCGCAGGGGCCACCAGGCTGCAGACCCTGTGACAGCACCAAGGAGAGAGTGGACAGTTCACTCTTTCTGGCCGGCTGTGACACAGTGGTGAGGCCTGTGGGATGGAACATGTGTCCAGTGAATTGAAGGCACGAGCTGTGAGGGGAGATCAGTTGTGAAGCTCCCCTTTGCCTTGAGATGAGGGAAGCCCAATTAGCAAAGGCCGGGGAAGAGCTGAGGATTTCGGGATTCCCATGGATTCATTTTTCTAACCATGCCTCCGATTAAATAAGTAACACCCACAGTTAATCCTTTATAAATTAGCATCATGGATGCCTTGGGGCCCTCAACCCACAAATAAAATGGTTGTCAACCTAGAGACACAAGACTGTATATTACTTAAGGCAGAATTTTAAAGAGTTTTCATGCTTTTAATCTGTTTCACCGCTGCGTTTCAATTTTGCTGATTTCCTTTGCATGTCTGATGCGGGTGACTGTGGTAAATAGAGATTTTGACAGTGACTTGGGCAAACGGGATATGGAGGGGACAGTTGTGCCCCTTCCGGAGAAAGGGAAGGATAAGTCAATTGAGTTTTAAATTCAGCCGCCAAGCAGCACTGATCCGTGTTCATAATTAGCCTCCCTTTAACAAGCTAGGAGGTCCCCGTTTTATTTATTTATTTGGGGGACGGAGTATCTTCCTGCCTCCTGAGTAAATATGGCCTGTTAAGTCTGAATTAGCTGTCAGCACAGGAGAATTAATGTCGGGGCGCAGCCTTTCTAGTGGGGACGAGGAGAAATAAACGAGACAGTTCTGAGCTGAGGCTTACTTGATGAATGAGGACCAAGAGGATGATTCATCTCCTTCCAGCAAAGTGGACACAGGCACTAAAGCAGTTTTGCGGAAGACGTGTCAGCAAATGTGATCATTTTGTAACCTGTCAGGAGGAGAGAGAGCTAGTCCTTCCACGGGCCTCCAGGGACTGGGCTTGTGTGATGGGACCGTCTCCATCCATGCATTTAGGTTTGGGGAAGAAGGGGGTGGCCAGGAGGGACCCCCACTGCAACCACAAGGATGTCATCATCCTTCCTAGAAAGAAATTCATCCCGAAGCTGGAAAAGGCTAGAAACACCCTTTCTTCACAAACATTTGAAGTAGGAAGGTGGGGTCTCTGTTACAGAGGGGGCCTGGTGAGCCCCACCCAGCTCGTCCCTGTGAAAGTCCTTCAGGCCCCCTCCTACCCCCCCCCAACCCCACCGCCGCCGGTGCAGTGTTCTTGTCTAGACTAAGGCAGCAGCCCCTTTCCTGCTTGTTGTCTGAGGATGAGCGAGTGGGGTTTGCCAGAGGGTGATCAAGAACGGACAGGGGTTAGACCAACAAGCAGCCACTGTCCCTGTTTCTGCATCTGGTTCTGGGAGGGCAGACATGGGTGAGACTTTGGACATAGCTCCCTTTGAAAGTCTCGGTAGCATTCTGATGTTCGACCTCTTTTTTCAGAATGAGGTAACAAATTTTGAAACGACTTCATCAGCAGCTCTGCATAGGCACTGTGGGGCTGCGTCTCCACCCTGGTTCTCCTTCCCAGTTCCAGCTCCCAGGCGGAATCTGGCAGAGCCAGAGCTGGGGAGGTTAGCACCCCAAGAGATGAGGGCTCACCACCCCAAAGCACAGGAGGCACCTGGGTGCTTGGGATAATTTCTCATTTCCATCTTTTTTTTTTTTTTTTTTTTTTTTGCTATGGAGCAAATGTAACATTTCCTCCTGGCGTCACACACGGAGCATGAGCCCCGGTGACAGATGACGGTTTCACAGCCTGAGCTGCAAGTTTGACACTTGCTTCTTAATCCTGTCATTTTCTTCCCAAGTCTCTCTTTGACTTTTCCCCAGGTATTTTTGTACAGGTAAGTACCTTACTGACATATGTTTCCTTAGAGTCTTTTACTGTAACAGGAAACACTGGAAAAAAAAAAATCGAGGCTTGTATCACCTTTTAAATTAAAAAGAGACGCTCACAAGGGGCCCTTGATCACTTAAAGATTACTACGAGGCACTCCGAGCCTCGGAAGCCATCGGGTTCCCTTTAGCTTTGCAGCAAGCGTTTCTCCGAGTGAAGCGGGATGATCTCTGTGGAATCATTTGTGCATCGTTAGTAGAACCAAAAGGCTGCTTGGTCACACCCACACAAACGCGCACGCGCGCACGCGCACACACACACACACACACACATGCATGTTCATACATACACATGCCACCTCCCTCTCCCATCTGCAAAGCCATCGTTTGATTTGCCAACTTGATCTTGGATGATCTTTGCTGGAATGTCTTCTATTCATCCGTGTGATTTCTTTTTCCTTTGCTCTCTCCTAGAATCATCCAGAGCCGCATCCTGCTCGTCATCCTGGGCATCATCCTGGTCATCACCATCCTGACGGCGATCACTTTTTCTGTCAGAAGACACTGATGTATCTTCCTTGATAAACAGCAACCATGGGTCGTTCTGAGTAATTAAGACAAAATGGTCATATGAATCATTCTTTTGCGCTGACAGGCCCTGAGTGACCCTCCCTCTCCCTTACCCCTGCTCAGCTGAAGTGCAAAGAGTGTACAAATATTTTCTATTCCTGTTTGCATGTGGGTCGGTTTCCTTTCCTAGGTTTGTCTTCACCCAGATTTGTTTTCATTGGGGCAGGCGAATGTTTATTTGCCTTTTTGGTGATTTCATCTATGGACCAAAATAGCCTTGGTGACATTCTTCCTGGTCCTGTGGACATGTCAGGGGTCATGGTTTGGGAGGGGGCAAGATGAGTCAGCCACGAGGGCTGCTGAGGGGCGGTGCTGTTTGTCACATGGCTCTTATCACTGAATTGTCCTTCTGTGATGTCTGAGGGTAAAAACGCATTGAAAAGCAGGAGCCAGGGCCAGTAACTGGCCATAGCAATCCGACCTGCACCCACCCAGGTATAATGAATATAGTCAACCTGCCTAAGTGCTTTCATTTTCAAAGTGGGCATTTAATGTCAGTTGTGCAGGAAACAGACGTAGCACTTTCCCTGTTATTCTAGGCATAATTATTTTTTTTTAACCCAAGAATATTTTTGCCTGAGCCTGCCCAATATCCACTTTTCACAACTTGGATTACTGGCTACAAGAACAATTTCCTTGCCTTCCAAAAATTTCATACAGCCCAGAATTTGCTGGCAAAGTGAGCCCAGGCACCATATTTCATTGTGACCTCTTCTCCCCTGACCTGTGTAAGCATCTCTGTATCCTTTCGGTTGTAATATTTTCATGGCCAAAAGCAGCCCTCGTACATGCAAAAGGTCTGACAAGGTTCTCTCCACATCCATTCCAGTATGTAAAGACAACATGAATATTTCAGGAAGAGCAAGAACATGACTCCGTCAGTGTGAAATTTCAAATGTGACTATAAATATGGTAGAGTCCTAGAGGATAATCCACTAGAAATAAACTGTGGAAAATGCCCACTAACCTCCTTTGAAAGAACAAGGGATTGCCGCGTGTTACAAAAGGACAGCTTGGGTTTTCACTAATAACTGTTAGCAAAGCCTTCCGGAATTCACTGTGTATTCAAACCTCTAACATGCTTTGTGATTTTCTTTGGTTTTTTTCTGTCCGAGGTAACCAGGAATTGCGTTCAAAATGAGTTCATTTATGATCAGGCTTCAAGTTGCCCAAGCTGAGGTCATCTTTCCCCTAGTCATAAAGCAAAATGTATTTTTCTTAAGACTTCATAGACACTTCCAGGGTTCATACTCTCTTTTGAATATAATTGGATGCTTTGAATCCTTGAATAGCAAACCTGTTCCCTTCATAAAAAATGCTAACCACCTATGCCCATGGATTGAGATCACCTGGGTACAGCACTGGATTTTTTTTTTTTCCTCCCCAACCCAGAAAGAGAACCATTATGATTTAGACAGGAAACGCAGAGTGGTAAAATCCACCCGAGAAATCATACTTACCGAAACAGGCCGGGGCCTGCATATGTGCAGATAAATCATTTAGTATTGCGTAAATAAAGCTGCAGCCTTTACTTTACAGGAATGGTGTGGGATTTTGGCAGAGCCAAGTAGGACATCGAAAGAATAGGAAGGTGTGCTGATTTTCCTATCAGCTTCAGGGATCTCTCCCCACAAACATCCTTAATTCTGATAACGGAACTCTGAATGTGCTAAACGGAAGAAACCATTAAGAAGCAAGGAAACCACCTCCTCATTTGAAACACTAAAGCTCGAGAAGGGTTTCCACCTCTCTGATGGCTTCCTTCGAAACTGTTGGTTACTGAAGTATAGAAGCAGCTACCCAGCTGCCCCCCTCACACCTCCAGACTCGTGCCAAGGACCCCTAGCCTTCCGGGTTGAGCTGATCCTCCAAACTCGCTGGCCACAGTGTCCATCACTAAGACCATGACGTCATGTAGAAGTAGATGAAATGAGGAGCAAGGAGCCCTTTCTCACTTCTTAATGGCTTTGTCCTCCAGATTCTATCTCCTTATCAGCTCTTGCCTGAGATTTTACCCCATTTCAGCCTCAGGAGTGGAGGAAGGTAAACAGATGACCTTTGACCTGTTAGCTCCATCCACCACCCCCCCAGGGACTCCTAAGCCTGGGGTCAGGAGCGCTTTGTGAGGAAGCTGCTCCAAAGCCCCCCCTAGACTCCCGCTTGGCCCTCCCGTTGCTGCTGGAGAAGCTCAAAGGAGCCCCAAGGGAGGCAAATTGTCCCTCTTCTTCCCTGCTGCACCAGGAAAGGCAGAAAACCCACAGTTCCAACCAGGTCAAAAATCTGGGAAAGCCTCTAGGAACTTAATATGTAGACTTCAAATGATTTTTGATGACTATTTCTCAAGTTGAGCCTTTGTTAAAAATGATATTGGGGAGGTGGGGTACAGGGGCGGGATAAAGGTGAAGACTCAGAGAAGGAAGAAACCCTGGCCGTAAAAAAATCACACCGACCAGGTTTCCGGACAGAACAAATAGAGCGATGCGACCGTGCTCCAGAATCCAAAGCAATTTCATTAAGGTCTCTTAAGTTGTAAAGAGTTTTAAACGTTCCACGTTGCAACCGAACGCCTGCAAGTGCAGCGAGCTTGACGTCAGCTGCCGGGCCTGGGCTGGGAGGCCATTTGCTATTCTGTTTAAGGCAGGCTGGATTGTCTTATTTTGGAACCAGCTTGGTGGGGGGTTTGCTTTGCTACTGCTTCTGAGCCCTGAGCTTCAAAGGCTGAAATTAATGGTGAACAAAATTGTTCAGCTCTGGCCGTCCCATGCGGGGCAAGCCCATTGAGGGTTATCATTAAGTAAAGAAATAAAGAGGGGGGGAAAAAGCCTGCCTGTTCCAAAAACCTCATCAGATAATGACCTCAGTGATTGGGTTTTCATTACCAAACAGCATCCAGAGATTATCTACCCTGTCGAAGAAGGGGTGGGGGGGTGGGAGAAAGAAAGACAAGCCACTGTCTCTCTTTCCCTCTTTCTGCCTTTTTTTTCTTTTTCTTTTCTTTTTTTTTTTTCTTTTTGCACATCTTTTCTTTAAAACTGTCAGATCATCTCAGTATTTCAAATCCGAGGAAAACAGCCTGCCTGCTGCTGTATTTGAAGTTGTAATGGTGTCAAAAAGTCACGACTGACTGACAGCCGTCAGTCCCAGAGGGGCTCATTAAATCATAAAAACTTGACAAGGAAATAATTGCACATCGCCAGCAACTTGGCGCCTGTTTAGACGTTTTTATTTCCTTTCATTATTAGTCCCCACCATTACGTTCATTAACAAATTGCATTAAACAACTGTTAAGGGCTAATGATTTGTTTATCGCTTTTTTTTTATTATTATTATTTAAACATTAGCTGTGTCATGTGGTACCCCAGCAGCCTCTTGCCATCATCTGACTGAATATTTTTTTCCACTCCGAGCTCTGGGTACTGTTGGAATATGAAATAGATTATTCATTACTCTCCTCTTTGCCACTGATTTGGTTTCATGTAGCGTCTTCCACAGAGAAAGATGAAAACTTGTCAAAAATAGGTTATATCTTATTCGAGGGGGCAACAATAGCAGCAGGTACAGGCACACTTTAATATTTAATTAAGGTTGATGTTAACCCCTTTAAATGACTTTAGCTGTAAGTTCCATTCAAATGCAGGAGAAAAAAATAATTGTTCTTAATTTGCAACCTGTTCAGCAGGCATTCTTCATGGCGTGAGCTAGAAATTTGCAGTGGAATTTTTAAATAATGAAATTTCCCATCATAAATATGTATAGCCATTTGTCTACGTAGTTGAGAATTAACTACAAACCATGATTTCCTCATTCCTTTGGTTGAACGGGTAGCCTCGTGGTGTACTCGGCGCTTGGGAGTAGAAGTGGCATTCCTGGAAGAAAAGTGTCTTCAGAGCCAAGGACTGATGGTGGCTTATGGCTGGGGCTGTGGGTCCCCCGTCTTCCCGTTCACTCAGCTGCCCTTTTGGCAGCGTCTGTGGTTGGAGGACTGTGGTCTGGAGGACTTCTTAAAGAAGGCATGTGTGTCCAGCCAGCTGCTGTGGGCAGGGGTGAAAGGGATGTCTGAGTGTCTCTGTGAAGCGGATGAGCTATTGCCAGCAGTGCACCCCCCATAAACAACAGGAACTACGCTTTGTTGGGAATGACCATACACCATCAATGACTTGTCATTGATGAAATGATTGGCTTTTCCTTGGGCTATGAGATCGAGGGTAGAAGATCCATCATCAACCCAAGTCAGAAGTCAATGGCGTTCTCCACCCCACAACTCCTGGCAGCATCTGGTTACCCTGTTTGATTCAATGAGTTCACATAACCATAGAAACTACTCTCAGAGGCCTGGTTCAGTGGTTCTTCAGGGTTGGAAAGTTCTGGTCAGTATCAGAGAATGGCAAGTACCTTTCTCCCAGCTTATTTCAACTCCTACCAACCCATCTGCAGACAGACAGACCCCTTAGGCAGCTACACCATAATGTGAAGGGAAGAGATGGCACATGTTCCTGGCTCAGCAGAGCATCTCTCAGCATCACCCACCCAAACATGATGGTCCTGCAGTAACCATGGCAGGAGAGGGGTCAGCCCAGCAGGAGTGAGCCAGGTGAGTGAGGCCTGGCTTCAACCCTCATCATTACTATAGGTGTAGAGACAGCAGACATGCCAGGGCCAGGGGATAAGGATCTGGAGCCTCTATTTCAATCCACTTCAAATTAGCCACCTGAAACCTAGCAGTCTTTGGGGTGCCTGAGTCCTGGCCAGAGTCATCTGACCAGAAAGCCCATTGAATTATTTATCTAGAAGGAAGAAAGTCTCTGAGGTGACTCAGTCCAAGTCCTAGAGACACAGGTTGAAGATACTACTTGAGAGGAGAAGCCAATCCTCAAACATAACTTTACTGGACCCCAGGAGACATTCCTGTTTGTAGAGTTCCCGTGGTCTTCTGAGTTCAGGCCAATGGTATCTGCCAGCATCTCCCCATATTGTGTGACAGTCAGGTGACTTATAGATAAGGTGCCAGTCTTTTCTAAAATGGGACCCATGGTTTTATGGACAGCTCAGAAAAGTGCTCAAAGCAGAGGCACTATGCCCAAGGAGGAGGACATTGAAGGATAAGCAGGAGTAGCCAGGCCCATGCAGGAGAAGAGTGTGTGTGGTTTGAGCCAAGGCTGGATATGGGGCCCTGAAATGGGTGACTGAGTCAGATGCGACGTCCTCGCATGTAGTGGAGATAACACAAGAAATACTAAGGGAGACATCTCATCTCTATTAGGATTCCCAGACAATCAGAAGGTGAATGTTCCAGAGTCAGCTTAACAGAGACATGTAGGGGAAAAAACAAGATGGCGGGGCAAACCAAAATGGCAGGGCAAACCAAGATAAATAGATTGAGAATATAAGATAAGGAACAAATGGAGTGCGGTTAAGAGTAGATTCCCTACAGAAGAGAGAGTTAGGTGGCTCATTCCAGGGACGAGTCAAGAGAGGCAAGTAGACCCCACTTTGTCCCACTCTGGACCCATCATCGCCCTTCTCCAGGAGGTTCCAAAGAAGGAGAAGGATAGGGCGCATGTCTCCTGGGATCGGTGCCCAAATCAGACACGACCCTTGTCGCTGTGCTTTGCCTGCTCCAGGCCGCTGTGGGAAAAGTGCCTTCTCATCCTGATTCACCTCGTTATTCAAGCCATGTAAGAACGAAGGCATCACAGAGAGAGGGGGAAATGCCACGAAGCAGAGCTCTGGACTGATTCTGTGAACTCCTGCACCCTCCTTCCCTTCATCCAAACAAGGCCCTTTGGCGTGAATAATAGCTCGCTGGCCCTGAAGCCCGTATTGATCGCTGCCCACGCAGCTAGCCGAGTGCTGCCTGGACTTTTCCTGGGGGCAGGACAGCCCGCTCAGCGCAGCCCTCCTCCTCCCCCTACCCCCACAGGTGTGTTCAGGAGGGGGTGAGGGGGGCGTCCTCCAGCTCAGTGCTGCTTTGTTGCCTCGACTTTTTTTTTGTTTTTAACTTATTTTGCCAGGAAAAGTAGATGAGTTGGAGAGAAATATTTTCTTCATGATGATGCCCCATAGAGTTGAGAGTGAATTTATCCTCAGGCTCCGGTTTCTCTCCAGAAGGTTCTGCCAAAGACCCAGGCCACAAGAGCACCCCGGCTGACATTTTGGAGGCCTGTTTACTGCATGCCCAGCATTGGGCTAAGTGCCTGAGCGTGCTGTTCAGCATTTCTCTGTGAACGTTCCCTGCCTTACATGCTTGGAAGGGAGAAGATTCTCACCTCCCTGTGGGGCCCGGCTCTTGTAAAGTTCTGTGGGGAGCCGTCAGCTACGGGTTGGTAGAGACACAGGACGGATGCTGTACCCCAAGCTCCTGACCACACTTGCCCCTCATCGCTCTTCTGGGCACAGGGAATGGCCAAGACCTTGGCCCTCTGAGAAGTGTGCTGTTGGCCCGGCTCCTGCAGGGTTCCCCCCAACCCCGCCACGCTGGTAGATCCTACCTGAAACCCCACCTTTCATGGTTCATTCCTTTGGCTTCTGACTTTGAACCTTGTGAAAATGCAGCTTCCTTTGCAGTCTGCTCAGACTCCGACCCAGCTGGGTGAATTCTCTGACACGTTTATAAGGGAGATTTTGGATTTGAGGGAGGAGAGATCCACCATGTGAGAGAGTAGAGAGTGGCCTTTGGGAAGGGGGTGAAGTTTCCCTGAACCACTTCCCCAGAGGTGTCCCTGGGATCTGCTGTCTTTTGGGTTTATGAGCAGGTTCCAGGGACCACAGCCTTGCCCAAGAGGCCTGCACACCCCGGCCGGGGCCCAGGCAGACACAGGAGGTCTGAGAACTTGTGGGCTCCAAGAAAAGAGGTGAGTGGTATAGGGATCCTCTGTACGTCACAGTGATGCCACTGAGAAGTGAGAGAGCTGGCAGATAGGGGCGCCTGGGCTCTAGCAAATTGCTCCCCTCAGTGAACTGCTCCAACCTCCTCTCGCCCCAGCCTTGCCAAGGGCAAAAGGAAGCATAGGCTGACACAGGGCACCTTTTGACATTTGCCCCATCCAGGGGCCCCCACCCAACAGAGACACTGTGATTATCAGAGCATCTCTATTAATTTCTATCTCTTCCTCATCCAAGCCCACGTACCCCGCCCAGCCCCCCAAGAAATTACAGAGCTTGGGGAGCTGGACGGCTCCAATGAGCTCATTATTGACCCAACAAGACTTCTAAATAATCAAACCTTCCGCTATTAGACGCCTGAGAGGTGTGATCAGATTTATTCATTCAGCTATTCAATAAATGTTTAATGAGCATCTATGTTCCAGGCCCCAAAGTCACCTGATAAAGAAGATAGATAAGAAAAGATAGTCCACGGCCCTGGGCCTGGAGGTCAGAAGCAGTTTTCAGTCCCAGTGTCCTGACTTGCTGGGTTTCAGGCAAGTCGTTCTCAGGTTCCAGAAACCAGCATGCATGTCCCTGCATCTGCTGCCCTGGAGATCAACGCCTCATCTCCATGAATTGCTCGCAAAGCCCATTCCAAACATTGGTGCTGTGTGTTCTCTCCTCCTTGTGGTTTCCATGACTACATTTGCAAAATTGCCCCCCTGGCACACGAGCAGGGTTGGCCTTGCCTGTAAGTGGGTAATTCCCCATCAGCACATCAGCAGCGGCCCCAGGTCAAGGACCAGCCCAGGAGAGGCGGGGAACAGGAATGGGGGCCCTTTAGACTAGACTGACTTGGAGGGTTTTTTTCCCTGCTTATTAAATGATCAAGGTTTGACTTGGCAGGCAATCGGAAACCCAAAATATCATAAAAGGGAAAAAAGTTGCCGCATGGCTGAGAGGCGCACCCCGGGAGTGTGGCTGGGCTCGGCGGCGAGGTGAATCACTGAGCAAATGGAGCAGGGGACGGCTTCTTTC